GAAAAAAATAATGCTTTTGGCGTTTCCTGTCCTTTTCAACAACCCTGTCTTTGTCAGCTCTTATCTAAACAGTGAACGACGATAAGGCCACAAGTGCGTAATTTATATAATGCATTATATATAGATACAATTATATATTTAAAATTGAAAAAAATTTATATTATTATGTTGGATTATATTTAAATAAAGATATATATAAACTTCAGAGTTTGGTATGCTCACCAAAAGATCACCCTATCAAGGTGATCTCGACTTTAGATTTTTTTAATGAAGGTTTTTAAAGCTGTAAGTTTGATATTGTATTAGGTTCTCATTGTTTTATCATTTAATTTGACTTAGATCGAGGTAATTATTATGTTTGTACATGTTTGTAGCAGTATATTTATAGATTAGTATTTTTCTAATAATTTCAGAAGGTTATATGGTGTGAATCACTTTGTTAATACATTTTCATTTCAAGAACAAGTTACTTATACCAATTTATGTACATAGTAAGCATTGCTATGCTGAAATGATAAAAGTGGGGTAGTCTGTGTAAATAAATGTGTAGATTTAAATTAAGGGGTACGGCAGATGCATTTGTTTTTTACAACCACATACAACATTGGGATATTCTGACTTGGGAAGCAGCTCTTTATGATGTATTCTAACATGATTTTAATAAGTATTATTTCATATATACCTCATATTTTAAATTCTATGAATAAATCGTTACTTTTTCTGTTCTCTGTGTTGAAATTCCTTCATATCATAATCTGACATAAAAATCATTTCAATCTGAAAAAATAAGCAGCGCTTCAAACTTCAACTATTCTAATTTTCTTGGTGAAATTTATAGCAGAGTGGCGGTACCCCTAAAGAGAATTGATATGGGTGAAGTATAACACTAATTCTTCCGTAATCTATGTTGATCCTACGGGGAGGTATTTTTCATCATTATAGAATGCATTGTGTGGTTATCTCCCTAAAGAAAATTTTACATGCTAAGTGATGAGTTATAATATTGAAAAACTATTCAGTACTTTTTTAAATAATATTGAATTTATTTTACAAAGGATTACTAATAAATTTTGAAAATCATAACATACATGTAATTGCCTTTAAAAAAAATATAGAAGATAAAATGAAAATAGATTCCGGGAAAAGATTTAATCTCTCAACCTTAAGGCAAAATCAAAAAATCAAATTTACATTAAACCCATTTTTTACTCCAAATAGTTTAACAATGGTGTAATTTTTATTTCAGACTTGTTAGATAAAAAGGGAACTTTTCTAAAATTTGAAGATTTTAAAGCATAATTTACTATAGAAAACAATTTTTTGACCTACATGTATGCAAGTTTACAGAGAGTTGTAAAAGTGCCTATGGCTGAAAAAAAATAAACAAAGAAAGATTAAATCCAAGGCCCATTCTACCTTTTTATTTAAAATCATTCTGTTTATATAAAAATGAAACAAAACCTTTATATAATATTTTGAGCACAGAACTATAATACATTTCTCAGAAGTAAAAATAAGTAAATATTTTGACATTAAAGATTCCTTGTCGGAAATGCTACACGAAATTCCTTTTCAGCGAACAAAAATTTCTAAATTATAATGGTTACAATTCAGAAAAAATCAACATAAATTAATGTAAATAGTTACAAAGAAAATATTATAGAAATTGGTTTGAAAGGTTTTAAATTGTGTAGCTTCTGTCAGACATATGATTCAAGATCTTTATCATATACATGTAATGTGGGAATGTCAAGAGGTTCAGACTTATGAGTAGTTTTACAATTTTATATGAAGCTCATTATATGTATCCAAAAGATAGTTGTATGTTCATATTTGGAAGCCCTGAACAAAAAAGCAAGGGATCAAATACAATACAGTCATGTTTTAAATTATTTATGCACAGAACCAAGCGTTGTTATGAGGTTTTGAGATCACAAGGCTTTCGCAGAACATTACTGTCTACCATGAAATATAGTGCAGCAAAAAGTAATCAGAGTAGTGAGTAAAATATTAAATGGAAAGAATGGCAATTACTTGTAGAAGGAACTGAAACTAGGCAGTTAAAGATATTTTGCAAATTCTATATTACCAGTACTTGAATTAACAGATATTTCTCAATCGCAACTTTTCGGGTCTTTCCAACTAGCGGAAAAAATAACATCGAATGTATTACGTAGACGCCATGACACCCCCCCCCCTTTGAAACACGTAAAATGGAGATCTTTTAGTTGTGGAGTGTGAGTTATGAGTTAATCTTTATTCAATGTAATAATATTACCTAAATTAAACTATAGAGGGGATGCCTTTTGGTTGTTTTTGCGACCTCTGAAGGAAACACCCGAGATGTTGCGATTGAGACATTTTTATCATGCTTATTTTCTCCTTTTCACCTTTCTATACCCCCTCTCTCTTTTTCTCTTTCTTTCTCTCCCGCTTCATCTCTTCATTGTCACTATTATGTAACGTTTTTTATTTTTTTACATTCCTTAATGATATACTTTTATAATTTAATTCTGGTTGTAACGCTGTATTTGATTGGATTAAAAAATTTACTTTATATCGCATAAAATGGGTTGCCTACGTCACAACGACTTGCGTCAAAACGTATCAATCCGCCTTACGTTACATTCAAATTTTGTACTAACTGAAGTCATTTTGTTAGAAAAATCATCTTCTTTTCTTACATCAAATGACTGAAAATTAAATTATAAGCAATGAATTTAATAACTACCCATTTTATACGGTATAAACTGTATAGTTTATACCGTATAAAATGGGTAGCTATTAAATTCATTCTTTAAATAACGTCTTATATTATTATAAAGATGAATGTGACAAATGATATTTCTTAAAAAATGAGAACATATTGCGTATGCATTTCTTACATTTGCTTATACTTATATAAACAAGTTATTGATGGCTTATCATTATATTAAGGTAGTAATATTAAGGTAGGAAAAAGTTTATTTTGAAAATGCAGACAAACATAATTTAGTTAAAGCTTATCGTATTCAAAGGCATTGATTATTTTGATTTTTTTTTCATTTTATATAATTGACCTTTTTTAATTGACTTTTGTTTCAAAATTTAATTTCAAGATAACGTTCTTTGTTCTTTGGTTTGTTAAAACTAAAACGCATTGTCAAATATCATAACTTATAAAAGCTTACTTATTTTTATATCTTGATGTTTAGTTGATTTCGTAGAATTACTTATGATGTTTGATATCGAAAGCGATCATCTTTTCAGTCTTTTGTCATATTCATTATATTCATGAAATAAAAGAACAACTGGAGTTATTCATTTGATACCTAGTAGAATATAGAAATATTTTTTTAAGAGAATCATAATTTTTTGGATAATTTTGTTTTATTATGTCACCTGAGTAAACTCAGGTGAACTATTGCTTTATGTTTTGGTCCGTCAATGTGCGTTGTGCATCCTACGCCAGCATTTGAATATTTTCAGCTTCTACTCTGCAACCATTTGATCAATTTCAACCAATTTTGGCAAAAAAAAAAACGTTTATGGAGGAAGGGGAAAAAATTGTGAATTTCATTTTCCCTTCCCCCTGGGGCCTGAGGGGTGGGGCCGAAACCACTAAAATTAATGCAATCTTTAAAATGTTTTTTCTTTACTCCTGTTGAGTGTCCTCTGCCCAAATTGTGAAATTCGTGGCTCAAGGGTCAGAGGTTCTAGCGCTATGGTTGGGTTCTATAGATTATATACTGAAATTGCAATTTCTTTCTTTGAAATTCTTCTTCACTGCTCATGGGTATTAAACAAACAAACTTAATGTGAAGTTATGATGAGTGAGGGCGCCACATCCAAAATTGAGAATTTCATGGCCCATTGATTATTGATTAGTTTAAATGCAATTTTGTCCCCCTACTCTGCCTATAGGTACATGTATTTGGTAACCAAACTAAGCATGCTTAATGTATAGTTATTTTGAGCAGCGGCACGATGTTTCTTTCAAAATTGTAAATGAAGTGGCCTCTGGTTTAAAACGCGAACCAAATTCAAATGTTTGAAAGTTGTTACAATATGCCCAGGTGACCTATAAGGCCCATGGGTCCCTTGTTCTTTTATCTATCTAGAATGGACACGGCTACTCTTCTGGGAGTGATACTGACCATGATGAACGTGGACAGTCAGATCTTACATGGTGGACATGAACCGGTGGGCAACTGTCCATTGACTAATACAGATGAGCTAGAGCTTCTGTTTAACTCAGCAACCAGGAAAGTGATAACGTCTCATTTTAACATGATGGAGACTCAGATGCTTACATATCAGATGGAGCTGGATAATTTTAAGAAAGAAATTACCGAACAAATAGAGAATATGCAGTATACTGTTCCTGGCGGAACTGAAAAACTAGGTAGGGATTTTCTGTCTCCTGTGTATGAATAACCTATTTAGCAAACGAAAGAGTGTTTTGATTACAATTGCAAGAATTATGATTAAAGATAGAGCGTTCTTCACCCCTTTGAAAAGTATTGATGGGTTATAATGGCTTGCCCTTTTGCTTTTTATTCGGAAAATAAAATTTTTCTTAAAATTACAAAAATATCTCTCAATTTAGAGAGATATCTCTTAAAAAATAGAGATATTCCCCAACTTAAAGAGATATTTCATTTTTAAGAGAAAGGGATATCTCATAAACTAAAAGAGATATTTCTTATACTTAGAGAAATATCTCTTTTGATAAAAGAGATATATCTCTTCAGCTTGAATAGAAATCTCTTTCTCCTTGATTGATATCTTTTTCGTGAAAAAAGATATCTCTGAACGTTAAAGAGATATCTCTTTCATCCTGAAAGATATCTCGTTTACTTTATCTTTCCAAGTTAAAGAGTTATCTCTTAAAGTAAAAGAGATATTTCCCTTAGTTTATGTTAAGAGATATATATCTCTTGTAGTGAAAGAGATATCTCTCAAAAGTGTATTAAAGAGATATCACTCAAGCAAAAAGAGATATCTCTTAATTGCAAAGAGATACCCTTCGTCAGTATTTTTTTAAATTTTGATATATTCCTAAAATATGCCATATTATAGCTTTACTAAACATGACAAGTTATTAAGATTTGACTAAATTTCATATTTGTAATAGTCGATTATTTCATAAGCTTAGAAAATTCGGTCCATTGCATTTGAGATTATAAATATGCTTACTTTCGTTTTCCTTAATGTTAAACTTTTAGCATTTGATCAACGATGTATCCATTATTGTATGTTAATCGTTTCAAACATGGGATTTATAGCATTTTTGTCTACATAGTACATAAATTATTCTGGGCATTGCATGTTCAGTCTTTTTCTTAAAACAGTGAAATTATTCCAGAAACTCTAATTACTCCAGTACTTCTTGTTTCGCTATCGTTTTAAAGTTGAGAATTTATTATTTTATTTCAATGATCACTGGAAAAGAGATATATTTTTCATTAAAAGAGATATCTCTTTAGCTTAGAAAGATATCTCTTTTTGAAAATTTCAAGAGATATCTCTATAACTAAGAAAGATATCTCGTTTAACCTTGTTAAAGATATATCTTTATCTTAAGAGAGATCTCTTCTCGTTTAAAGAGATATCTCTCTAGCTTATCTCTCTTACAAAAAGAGATATCTCCTTTATTTAAAGAGACATCTCTCTCTAATGTATAAAGATATCTCTATTAGTCAAAGAGATATCTCTATAAACTTAAGAGATATCCCTCAATGCTAGAGAGATGCCTCTCTTACTGAAAGGATTTTTTTATTTTATGAATACATGTAAATAGTTAAAGGGCTTGACATAGGATACCATCAAACAAGTTATAGAAATCTTTTCTAAGACTCAATTGTTAAATTCTTAATTAGTGTATAATTATAATTCATTAACGTACAAGGAATGATCGTTTTCAATTCAATGTATAATTCAGTTATATATAATTATATATATATAATTCAGTTCAGTTCCATAACTGGAAGGTCCTGGTTGCGATTGCGCATGCAATAAAATTTGAGCTACCTGTATGCTACATTACTGTCTTTATTTTTTTAAAAATTAAGAAATTTGAAAATTAACATTTCCGTAATCATGATTCAAAAACCCATATATCTAGACCTTATACAGGTAAAATTTTCATTCTGATTGTTTTTTTTTTTATATGAAATCCAACAATATTTATTTCGCATAGTATTAATTACCCTTAACGAGAAATTTGAATTTCAATAAAACCATATGTTTAAGGTTATTGCTACACAATGCTTTCCTGATTTAAAGGTTTACGACTTGTAAATGGACGTTCATCAGGGGAAGGAAGGGTGGAGGTCTACAAGGATGGAGTCTGGGGAACGGTGTGTGTAGAGAGCTGGGATTCTAATGATGCCAATGTGGTCTGTAAACAACTATTTGGATTAGATAGGTGAATGTCTTCTTGATTAGATATGTTTATAATAAATCAATGTTTTATTTATTTATTTGTGTTTGTGTGTGTGTGTGTGTGTTTGTGTGTGTGTGTCCGTTTAAGAGTACTCGTCAAAGATTTGAATTATTAACTGTTATCATTGTTTTTACATATTTAAAGTCAGGGTTATCAGCAACTCACAAGGTGTATTTTTTACACTCAATATTTAAAAGGCAAGGTGTTGCAGTTTCAACTGCAGTATTTGGAAAAGGAGCAGGAACTGTCCATTTAGATTTACAATGTAGTGGTGCTGAAACTGATGTTCTCGACTGTCCTCTTTCAACCACAGCCACCTGTACTCATTCAGAAGATGCCGGAGTTGTTTGTTTTCTTCCTAATCGTACGTGAATGTATTTTACAAATATTATAACCTCTAGATTGGATTTTAAGGCAGTAATCTTGATGTTTTGGATTTTACATTACAGGCCATGTCAGGTTATCCAAAGGAAATTCTACAAACGAAGGCTTAATTGAGGTGTTTATCAATGGGAAGTGGGGTGCTGTCTGTGATCAAGTGTGGGATAATGATGATGCCAAAGTCGCTTGTCGCTCCTTGGGATATTCTTGGTAATATCTTATCATGTCTTTTAAGTTGCAAGAGATTCATTGTTGAATATATTTTTTCATCGTAAAATATTAATTCGCTGATCTCATAACATTTCAGAAAGAGATTTCGTGTCAATTTAAGAAATTTGCGTTTGCTTGACTCTTTGCGAATGTTTTCAAGGCTTTTTGACTTCCATTCTCCATTATAATTCTTGCAAACCAGATATCAAGATAAATGGCAGGAAACGTGTCGCATGTTTCGTATTTTTTTTTAATTTTTATGGATTGATTCAAAGGGGTGTTGCGGTGAATTCGTCGGTTTTCGGATCCGGTAATGGACACATTTGGCTCAATGGCATTAATTGCAATGGGAATGAGGGTACTCTGTTACAGTGTGCAGACTCGGTAACTGGATCCAACAGGTGCAATGCTGGAAAAATCGTTGGAGTTGTATGTAATCCTACGAATAATGGTGGGTAAAAACAATAAAGTATACTTTGTTTTAGGATATACTAAACTTTTATATAAGATTTTTTTTGAAATTCAATTTCAGCTTCAGTTAGAATTGTTAATGGTAGCTCTGTTGATGAGGGTCGAGTTGAAATTTTGATTAATGGCCAGTGGGGAAGTGTGTGTGATAACGGATGGAGTAAAAGTGATGCTGATGTAACTTGTAAAAGTCTTGGATATAAAGGGTAAATTTCCTTTCTTTTTTAATTCATCTTCTTTTCTTCTTTTTTTTTCTTCTTTTTTTCGGAAATATTTGGTTCCATCTTTTCTTGTTTTAAAGAGGTTTGTCCGTTTCCTCCTCTGTGTTTGGAGAAGGCAGTGGCCGGACATGGTTAGACAGAGTGAACTGCTATGGAAATAAAAAGTCTCTCTTTGAGTGCTCACAATCAGTGATTGGATCAAACACTTGTCGTTATGGTAATACAGCTGGAGTGGTTTGTTACAACACAAGGAATGGTGAGTTAAGAGAACAGTTGATAATTCAAGATTTCAAAGATTGATATATTAATTGATTTATCCATTTTTTATTTGTAATTTTATAGATTCAGTTAGAATAGTTAATGGTAGCACTGTTCATGAGGGTCGAGTAGAAGTTCTGATAAATGGTCAATGGAGAAGTGTATGCGACAGAGGATGGGGCAAAAGTGATGCCCAAGTGACTTGCAAGAGTCTTGGATATACAAGGTGTCCTAGTAGACATATTATAATTAAAACTGATGTTAATAAAATATTTAATAAAAATAATTTAGAAATTCATAAAATCTATTAAATGTAAATAACTTAAAAGTTCAAAAATTTTAAAAGTTTTATACATTTACAATGGTAAATTGTACATAAAGGTTTCTAGGTAGATTTGTTGACTAATTATAAATTCTTGACGTATGTCATCATTTTGGTGATATTGCAGAGGTATTCCTGTCGCGTCTTCTGTTTTTGGAGAGGGTCCTAGTCAGATATGGATGTTTAACAGCGTTCACTGCTGGGGATATGAACAGTCTCTACTAGGCTGCACGAAATCAGTAATTGGGTCTGATGTGTGTACTTCTGGTAGAAACGCTGGGGTTGTTTGTTATGAAACAGGAAATGGTAAGTTATCCCGGCAACTTTAGCTGTACTCATATGTGAACGCTTTTTAATTAGCGTCTCATTCTTTGCCCTTATCATTTTTTAAATGCATCTGGAAGCTTGGGTACAAATGCGATAATTAATTATCAGTAAATGAGGAAGATCTGAATCTTAAATACATTTTTACTATAATTCCTTAACTTTACAAAATCTATACATATATGATAAAATACTCGAGGATAATTGCAATTTTTGGATTTTAGAATCGGTAAGAATTGTTAATGGTAGTTCTGAGTATGAAGGTCGAGTTGAAGTTTTGGCGGAGTATTTGCAATAAAGGATGGGATAAAAATGATGCTGATGTGACTTGTAAAAGTATTGGATATTCAGGGTAATTTCTCTTAATTTTTGAAACACTTAGCCTATCAAGAAAAAAGCGCCTTTTTTTTTTTACCTTAATCTATTTTTGCAATGTATTAATCAAGCGTTGCATCAAATGTTTCTGTATTCCTTTTCTGGATATCTTTGAGATTCGTGCAGTTTTCTTGTTTCCTAAAAGTTTGTTTGGTCTGAGAAAATGTAATGTTCAAATAAAAAATATGTAAGAGTCGACTTCCTCCAAATCACTTCCACAACGACCCTTGTTTTTCAGAGGTCTCCCGGTTTCCCACTCTGTGTTTGGAGAGGGACCTGAATCAGTATGGATGTTGTCCACAGGAAATTGTCATGGAGGTGAACCATCGTTACTGGGATGTATTCAGTCAGTAATTGCATCTAACAGCTGTAGTAATGGTGGACACGCTGGGGTCGTTTGTTACCACAATGGAAATGGTATTTCAAAAGGATAATTTTTCATTTACATTGAATGTATGTTTATTAACAAATCAAACATCCTCTTGTCGTTATTATTTGATTCTTTTATAGATTCAGTCAGAATAGTTAATGGTAGCTCTGCAGACGAAGGTCGCGTCGAGGTTTTGATAAATGGTGAATGGCAGAATGTTTGTGACATAGGATGGGACAAGACGGATGCTGATGTCACTTGTAAAAGTTTAGGATATTCAGGGTAAAGTCTCCAACAAAATAGTAGATAAAATAGCGTGTTTCCAAAGCCATCTTCAGAATACTAGTATAATATTTTTACCAATGTTTGTTTGTAATTTTAGATTATTTTAGGATATGACTTTATATGTACTGATATTAGATATAACTTATCATTTCAAGGTAATAATACGAATTCGACGATTTTGATATGGTACTAAATTATTACTTAATGATGACTATTCACCGACTAAATTGTTTAATAAATGAACGGATAATGTCTAATAGCCGAAAAGACACTCTTATATGGAAAAAAAAAATTAAAAGAGACAAATGACGTAATCTGTTCTACAAGATGTAGAGGGTTTATAAAATTTGTTACAGTAAGCAATAATCATTATACATTACACATGTACATGTAAATATTGATTCAAAATTTTCTGTAGAGGGCTCCCGGTCCTATCTTCTCTGTTTGGAGAAGGCGGTGGTGAGATATGGTTGAGTGGTATAAATTGTAACGGAAGGGAAGATTCCTTGCTGAAGTGTCGACAATCTACAATTGGATCAAGCAGCTGTAGTGGTGGGGCCGCCGGAGTTGTTTGCTACCATTCAGAAAATGGTAAGTCCATATATTTCACCGTCTAATGAGATATATACTGCAGTATTCCTGTAAAAGACATATAACTAATCAATCTAATACCCTGGTACTAGCAAAAATATTTTTACATTTCAGTCTTTTCCTTGGGCTTTATCTACTACTTTTTTATCTTTTAAATCAATAATCATTTGCTTTTTTACAGATTTAGTACGAATGATAAGTGGTAGCTCTGTACATGAAGGTCGAGTGGAGGTTTTCTTAATTGGACAATGGCAAAGTGTGTGCAGCAATATGTGGGACACAAATGATGCTAATGTGACTTGTAGAGGACTGGGGTATTCAGGGTAATCAAACATTATATTCAATGCAACTTCTTATTATCAACTATATTTTATAAATCCTTTTTTTAAATAGGAATCAATCTCAAAAGTTGATTAAAGCAATAGAAATTTAAAGAATAGAACAAACTCGGGCCTTAGAAAAATCAGAGGTGAAATCAGGTGTCAAAATGAAATAAGCATTCCGTGTCGACCGGTCACGCGCGCCTTCCTCTTCTCACCCCCATCGAGGGTAAAACGTTGACAATTCAGTAAAATTAACGGTAATGAGAAAAGGCAGCCAACATTTGCCTTCATGAAAGACATTATTTGCCGACAATGTCACTAGCTGTATCGATCAAAGCCTTTATGAAATTTTGAAATTAAACAACACTGTTAGTATTCTTATTTAATCAATATGCTGCCAACATCTCGCCTTGATTTAGAAATTCTTAGTACCGTACATGGAGTAGAGTATAGACATGCTCTTCCGCATGAAATCAACTAGGAGACATAATCTCAAAGGAACTAAGTTGACGATAGGAAAAATTGGAGCCATCACGTTTATTATCAAGTTTTAGTTTTGGGTTGACATTTAAGTCTTTTACTAGTTTTGAATATCTGAATATAAAAAGATGTGTCAGACTCTGTGGTATATCCTATTTTGAGCTGAAAGGGATATATCGATTCAACACAGGAATGGAAATAAATATTATCAATTAATAAAATGTCGTTGATATATCAAAATGTTTAATTTAAGACCAAAGAAAGAAAATTTTTCTTCTTTTCCCGTAAAAAGTTGCAATAGTTTTGAAAAGTTTTCAGATTCACTTAAATACCAAAAAAAAAAATAGGTCTGCTAAACATGGTGCACAATAAGTGCTAAAAAGAGAAATGCAATAGATTTTTTGTAAATGCTGAACTAATTTCTTACCATGTAAAATAAACTGATGATTTCATTTTGTTGTAAAAAGTCTCGGACATGATTACAGATTAAGATGGAAATCTATATAAATTTTCTCTCTTTTGTTTCCTTAATTAAACCCTAACTGTGATTAAAGTTTATGGTAATATTTTGGTAGAGGAATCCCGGCTTTATCAAGTTCATCCTCTGTGTTTGGAGAGACAAAGGACCAAATGGCTGTGAGCAACATTAACTGTAATGGAAATGAAGATTCTTTGATCGAATGTGTACGATCCATAAGCAGAACCAACGTCTGTAACAATGGTAGACACGCAGGAGTTGTTTGTTACAACACCACTAATGGTAAGAGAGAGATTTGGAGAGAGAGAAAGAGAGATGATGCTACTTAACCACTAATTTCAAAACTCTTTTTAGACATAATTCGAATAGAAAACGAAAATTCTACAACGAATAACAGCGTAGTCAATCCAGAGGTACTTATCAAAGGTATTTGGATTGGATTTTGTAAAGACAGTTGGGGTTTCATGGAATCAGAGGTCATCTGCAGAAGTCTTGGCTACTCCGGGTAAATCTCTTTCTCTCTACCTTTCTCTCTCACGTGATTTTTGCGATGTAATTTGATTACATTTCGAAAAATCCCCGATATAAAAAGTAGTTCGAAAATGACCCACTTAAAATTGTATAAAAATATAATCTCGAAAAGCTTAAAGACTTATACAACACTATCATGAAAGCTTTGTTATGTTTTTAAAGATAAATTATTTGGTCTCTATTCTTAACGGAGTAACGTTGTTTTTTGGTATTATTTCGATATCAATGTTTATTAGTTTTTGAATTACCTCATACTTTGGTGTCATTTCGATGATATTGTTCATTAAGTTATACATGTATACCGTGTTGTTTTTTTTCATTGTTCTTTAGTTGTTGAGTCATGTTATATGTGAGTGTTATTTTGATGTATTTTTTCAATAGGCAATATTTACATTTGCTAATGTATTTCCTTATATGACATTATAAATAAATTTGACGTTGGGCAAACCGCACGAGACTATCAGAAAGTCTTGACTGTGACGTCATATGACGCCGTAGTTACGTTGTGTTGCATTTCTATAACAATGTCCAAATAGCGTCTATTTTTCCTTGTAACACGAATAAAAGTAAAATATAAATATAAAAAATAAAGTACGTGATTAAATCTACTATAACGCCCGTCTGGCGTTATAGAATTTGATCACGTGACCGACTTCATGTTTCATCCCAATGAAACTCTCAAAATTATATTTTATTTCCTAATTGAGTGTGTTATTACAATGAAATTGTTCATTAGTTATTTAGTTCCGTTATTCTTTAGTTTTATTTCGATGTAATTGGTTCATTAATCATTGAAAATACATATACACAAAAATTGCATAGTGAAAAAAGATTATCGAAATATTATATAAGCATATAAGAAAAGGACAATTCTTATATTGTAGATATGGTAGGATTGTAAACCGTAGACAAGGTGGGAATACATTTGGTGAACTGTATATAAAAGGTTTTAAGTGTACTGGAGCGGAAAGAACATTAGCTGGATGTAAATTTGGAACCATCGGCCTAGGAGACTGCAGTAATACTGGTGCTATAGAAGTGGACTGTAATACTGATGTGAAAAGTAAGTATAGAACAATATATGGACTCTTCCAGATTTCTCTATAAAGGCTATTTATAGGAAATAAAAAATTTACATGTACAACAGCAATTTAAGAAGTGATAAAAGAAAATATTTTTCTCTTGTTCATGGTTGAAAAATGAAGAAGATCATTATGGTAAGCATAATTCTAGGTTATAGGGTACACAAAGGGCAAAAGAAAATCACAAAATCAAAATAAGACAATTTCCAAATTTTCTCATTCTATGCAAATTTTCATGAAATTTATATCACATTGTGTTTCAGTGAAGGATATGGAGATAAGGAACAGTATTCAAAATCAAAATCCAAAAACAATGCAAAATAGGAGCACAGCAAACACGGACCTCCCCAAAAAAACATTCAGAAAACACAGAGATCCAACTTGCCGATCTAACAAATTTATATATTTCACGCAGGGGCATGAAATAATTTCGCCAAGGGATGCTCAATCCTCTTTGGCACCTGATC